CAAACTCATGACCTCAGGCTTGCCTGGCAAGCGCTTATGCCGCTGAACTATATCCGCAGCCCAGCATTCATGTTTTAAAATCCATACATTCAGATAAATTTGAATTTTGATCTCTCGGAATGGTTGCACATTAATTCTAACCTAAGAAGATGGGCTGTATGAATTAAAAGACAGAAAATACAAAGTCCAAGCTGGGAGAACTGAATTCAAATCCTTAAGAAACGGCAGGCCACTTCTTAGCTGTGACTTTGGGAGAGCTACCGGTCCTCCCTGGAATATGGTTTCCTCATGTTTAAAACATAGATAACACTAGCTACGCTCATGTAAGGATCAATAGTGGGATATAGAGCAAACATTTGAAATATCAGTTCTTATTTCTATTGCTATTTCTACCTGTTTTTAACCTGTAAGGGAACAGGAAACAATTAAAATAGACATAGATACATCTCTCTGTCTCTGTGTGTGTATGTATATATATCTCAACTCAGTAAAGACAGCATATGTAACTGGAATAAAGGCTCCACAGAATATTTATTTATCAGACTATGTACCTGGAGCTCTGTGTTATGTTTTACTGTCTGTCTCCTATTGAAGTGTGAGCACCGTGAGGGTAGCAGTGCTTGCCAGTTTTCACGTGTTGGTTATCCTGAGAGATTCGAGGTGTTTAGCACCCTTGGAAGAAAGTTTCTGATGACACTTGAAAGAATGAATGAACTGTAATTAGTATCACATAGTGGCCTTAGGGTCCTCAAAGCGTTTTGCGTTTTTCTCCCACAAGCAGAAATTATTTTCATGATTGCCATCGTCGTTGATCTTAGATGTGCAATATGTGTCCACAGAACGTCATGCTTTTACATTTTCTTAATTTCTGTTCCTTCAGTTTGGGGGAAGTAAAACCAACAGCGATGGTCGTGTTTTGCGTTAACGGTGCGGTAAGCCGGGAGGCAGTGGATTTCCAGTTCCAGGGAGGATGAGAGGTAAAATCTTTGAAACCCAAAACGCTATAGCCATGACTGCTTGATTCCTGGGAGTCCGGGAGTCCTGGTGTGGTAGGAAGAAAACCGCAGGGTATTCTTATTTTCTTCAAAGGTCTCCGGAGGCCAGCGTGTTTACAGCTCTATATCAGAACCCAGGGGGAACTTGCCCGGGTTCGCACAGTCTCTGCTCGCGGTCTCCGGGCTCGCGGCAGAGCGCGGCGCGCTGGAGCCCGGGTCGAGGCTGTCGCCCCTCACCTGGGGAGGCCGGGTCGCACGCCCGCGCTGCGCACTGCGCCAGCGCCCTCCCTGCCCGCGACAG